GGGCATACCCCTCCTCAGGAGGAGCAGGGTTTGGCTGGGTGTACCCAGATAAGTGAACAGCCTACTCTGGAAGTTGTTTTCCTGGTGCTGTGTCTCCAGGACACACGACCTTCATCCTCTCTCCTGTAACTTGCTGCAGCAGGGCCGCCCTGCTGAGTCACGGCGCTCGCTCCTGTGCCGGCAGCCTCTGGTGTTTACCTCCTGTGGAGGTGAGTGACCAGGGCTGGAGGAGGTGGAAAACCTGCCCCGTGCAGGACTCTTGGGTTTCACTCTGTATGCTGTGCAGACTTTTTGTCTTGATGGTCTCTGAGCATCTCTTCCAGTGCAGTGACATTTCTTTGCACGGAGCTACCGCCTCCTCGGGCAGCCCAGCTCTGCGCTGGAGCACAGATGTCAAGATACAGAGGAGCTGTGTGTTAAGAGTAATAAATAAAGGTTCTCCAGATGGTCATATGTCAGGTCACTCGATCCCACCTGCTGTTCCTGTACTGCTGGAGCAGCATATTAAGTGCAGGAAAGGATAGAACAAGGAGAAAAGCAAATTAAACAGTATGGCTTGAGTCTCCTCCTGGTTAACTGCAGTGTCCCAGGAGTCTTCAGGTGGGATGAGCAGGCTGGCACACCTGTGTCCCTTATTCCTGAGAAATCTGTTTTCCCTTCCTGGCTCCATTTAAGGGCAGGTGCTTTGGTGTGGGGGTACAGACCTGCCACGCCTGAGCCCCATCTCACCCCAGGGGGTGCTGTGGGTGGTGGGAGATGGGGACAGCAATTTGCCTTTGGATAAGGCTGGTACAACTGCCCCAGTCATGGCTGAGCCCTGGGGACAATTGATGGCATTTCGGTGATATTTAGGAGAGGGAGAAGCAGAGGAAACAACAGGAAGACGATTTAGTGAAGCCTCTTCCTTGCCAAAGCTGGCTGCCTTCCCAGCTCCAGCAAAGGAGCAAAACTGGAGAGGCTGGAGGTACTTCAGAAAGATATTGGATAACTATCACCCTCTCTCATGAGCCCACCTCCAAAACTGAAAGCATCCAGGGCCCACAGCAGGTGCCAGGCCAGAAAGTGTTGCTTCTGTCCTCCTGAGCAACCACCAACACTGTGGTACCCAGTGTTCAGCCTTGCATTACTGGGTCTGGCAGTTCATCCTCTGTCCAGGGAGATGGTGGATGAATGGGGAAAGGGGAGGGGGAAACACACCCCGAGGTTGGTTGGGCACGGCTGGGGGTGCAGACAGATGTCCCCTGCAGCCAGCTCAGCTTCCTCCTTCCCTCACAGGGCCATGGTGAGGGCAGGAGGATCAGAAACCATTTGAGCTGCAGTTTTGCCTCTGCAGAGGTCTCTCCCCCTCCCTTTGCTCTCCCGCCTGGCCACAGGCAGTGTGAAATCACCACCTTTGCATTCCCTGCTCTTGATTTACTGAAATGCCCGAGAGCTCCCTCTTCCCTCCCGGGTGCCTCAAAGCAGAGCTGGAGTGCGGCGCCGAGGCGGGAGGGTTGTTTGCATTTATAGGGAAACCTGTTAATAAAGGAGACCAAAGGGACTGCTCTTTTCCTGGCTGCGGGAACAGATGGCTGGATAACGCAGTGCAATTAATATGCAGGGAGTCCTGCCGGGGCAGGGATTTGATTGCCTGTTAGGAGAGGTTACAGCGCTGGAGCTGAGCTCTGCCACTGCTCTGCCTGTCCCTGACACCTGCTGCCTGCAGGGGCTCCATGGGGACTCTGGGACAGATTGGATGGGGTCACGGAGGAGGCTGTGGGCACTGCTCATGGGGAAGGATGCAGCTGGGGGCTCTGGGACAGCAGCAGGTCTCTGCTTCTCCCACCTTGAGTGATGCTCAGAGAGGGCTGCCCTTTGGGTTTGTAAAAGCCAAGGCTGGGTCTGGTGGTAAACAGCTGCTTGGAGATACTTCCAGGCTCATTCTTTCCTCCCATACTTGTTTCTCCTCTGAGTCTGGAGGTTTCAAGGAAAGCAGGAAGCGGCAAATCCTTGATGAGCCAAGGGAGGCATGTGCTGGGACATGGGAGATCTCCTTGCCGCAGGACAGCACAGGTACAGAGTGTTTCCCAGGGCTTCAAAGTGTGACCAGACAAATCCATGAGGAAGAGAAACCCCCTGCCGAGGGATAGGAGGGTTAGGAAGCCCTGGGGAAGCAGGAGACCCAGCAAACCCACCCCAGCATTGAGCAGGGCCACGTGACCACGAGGTCAATCCCAAATCGATGGGAGCCTCCAGCCGCTGGCCCCAATCGAACGGCCCAAGGTCACCCCCGGTGCACTTGGGGCTGTTCCTGTGCCCTGTGCCCATTGCACCCCAGGCTCTCACAGGATCGTGGGGCCTCCCAGCCCCTTCTCCTTCGTGCCTTTGCTTTGTTCCGCCCCCCTCCCCCCCATTTTCTGGTGTTTCTTTCCCCCCACTGCCTTGTCAGGGTTGCTGAGCACCACCAAAGCCAGCGCCAGGCTTTGATCAGGGGCTCCTGCCTGTGCTGTGCCAGCAGCACGTTCCCGCCCGGCACCGCCGTTCCTGGCCGCCCTTTCTTCTGCGTCAGGAGGCGGCTGGTGGAGATGTCGAACCTCAGCGCGAATCCTTGCAATTAGGCCTGTTCTGCTGCCTGCCTCGTTTGATCTCCTTTAATTATTTATCGCCTTTATTTTTTTCTCCTTCCCAAATCCTCGGTTTCTTTCAAGTGATGATTTTCCCCCTCTCCCCCCAGCCGTGGCTGGCTCTGTCTGTTTGCTTGCAATTACCAACCCTTCTCCCACTCCTTCCATCTCTCCCCTTTTGTTCTCCACCAGATCGTCCCTTCATGACACTCTCCCAGCTTCACCCCTCAGCTCTCTGTCTGCCTGGCAGCTTTTTCTTCTTGCTTTCCTCCATTTTTCCCACCCAGATGGCTGTTGCCTTTCTCCATCCCATTCCAGGTGTGGTTCTGGCTGTGTTTGCTGCTTGTGCCAGCTCTCTGGCTGGGATCCTTCACCCTGGGCTGGGCTATACTCCCACTGCTGCTCTCCCAGGCTGCTGCCCAAAACCTGATGTGGTCCTGCTACAAAGCCCTGGCTCCTGGCCAAGCCGAAGCAGCCCCATGGGGCTGATGCTTCCCCCCCCCCCCCCATGCCAGGATCTCCCTGTGCTGCTTTTGCATTCCTCATCTTCTTTGTTTCTCAGGACCTGATGCATTATTCAGCGCTGCGGACTCTGCGGGTGTTGGGAAGATAATGGTGCTGCAAAGGGCACAGGCTCACCCTGGGGATGCTGGATTTTCCTGTCACGGGCTGTTTTCCCCCTCCAGCATTAAAACAGGAATAGCCCTGACCATGAAGGAGGTGCTCCTAGGAGGTGGCATCTGCTGTCACCTCGGGGGGACATGGCAGGCACAAAGGCAGGAGCAGGGGGAGGCAGCAGCAGCCCTGGAGATGCTTCAGAGGCTGCATCACAGCTCCCAAACCCAGCCCCACTGCTCGGCTGAAGTTTAATAGAGACATGGATTCAACACGTGGCCACTTGTTTATGTAGTCCCTACATGAATAACGGACGTGGGACACAGGTTTTGCACAGCAGATGGTAGGAAACAACCCCAAAAGGCTGTTAAATCCTTGTGGAAAGAGGATGCTCATGCCCTTCACCCCATTCACAGCTGGGCACTGTGTCCCCCCCAGTTGGACCTGTCCCCATGGCCTGCTGCCACCTTGACCCATGGGGAGAAAGGTAAAGGATGGAGTGATTTTGGGCTGGTGCTGGTGAGCAGTGCTGCTGGCAGCAATTTGGTCCCCAGGCCGGTCCTCCCTCAGGGAGCAGAGCGGGGACATTCCCACCTGGACAGGTCTCTTCAGCCTCAGCTGAGCCCAAAATCTCCCCTTAGACCCCAGCTCTGGCTCCCCATCCCTGTCTCCTCAGCAGCTTTCCCCCCAAATCCCTGCTCTGAGGCCACACCTCCTGTGGAGCGGCAGCAGGGTGCCTTTGGGAACCAGCAGCCAAATCCAGGAGCGGTCCCAAGGGGAAGCACTGCCCAGGCGGTGCAGGGGAAGCTGAGCTATGGGATGGGGGGCTCTGGGGGGACCAGGTGTCCCAACCGGGGTGGTTTCAGGGTGTTTTGGGCGGCTAAACCCTTGCCCTGCCCACACTGGGCAGTTTTGGGGTGGCTTTGGGGTGGTTTGGGAGCTTCATCCCTTCCTGACCTGCAAGGAAGGCAAATGCTCAGCATCACTGAAGGAAATGAGAATTAATTAATAGCACCGGCTCGTTTCCTGTGTCACAGCACTGGGGAATGTCCCCAGTGGGGACCTGGCACCTCCCACATCACCCCAGACACCCCAGGCAGCCCAAAATTCCCCACATCTGCAGGGATGGGGATGTTCCAGGTGGTCCCAGGCATTGCTGGTGAATCAGCCGGGAACTGGGAGGGGGTGGGAAGCACTGGGGGAAGGTGGGGCATCATGGTGAGGAGGTAAGGGGTGGGATGAAACTCAGGGTGGGATACAGGATGGGGTGTGATTCAGGGTAGGATATGGGATGGGATACAAGGTAGGATATGGGATAGGATGAGCTGGGTTACAAAGTGGGATGTAGGGCCGGGTGTCCCCTGTAGGGCCGGGTGTCTCCCGCAAGGCCAGGTGTCCCCTGCAGGGCCAGGTGTCCCCTGCAAGGCCGGGTGTCCCCTGCAGGGCCAGGTGTCCCCTGCAAGGCCGGGTGTCCCCTGTAGGGCCGGGTGTCCCCTGTAAGGCCGGGTGTCCCCTGTAAGGCCGGGTGTCCCCTGTAGGGCCGGGTGTCCCCTGTAAGGCCGGGTGTCCCTCTGCAGGGCCGGGTGTCCCCCGCAAGGCCGGGTGTCCCCCGCAAGGCCGGGTGTCCCCTGTAAGGCCGGGTGTCCCCCGCAGGGCCGGGTGTCCCCGCTCGGCGCGGCTCCCGCTGCAGTGTCGCCCTCCGGCCGGGCGGCGGCGCTGGGCCCCGCGCGGTGCGCGCAGGCGGCGGCGGCGGCGGCGCTCTGTGTCGGGCGGCTCCGCTGCCGGAGCTGTCCAGCACTTCAGCAGGGGCCGCGCCGGGGCCGCGCCGGAGGGGCCGCGACCGCCGCGCCCCCCCGAGCCCACCGCCACCCCCGGCACCCCCGGCACCCCCCGGCGCCGACAGGGACCCCCCTCCTGGGGCCGGACTCAGCGGGGCGGCGGGGCGAGGTGAGGCGCGGCCGGGCCCGGGGCTGCGGGGCCGGCACAGGGCGGGGAGGGGGCGGGTAGGGAGGGGAAGGGGCGTGGGGGGCGGTGGGACCCCGCTGGGCACGGAGGGACGCTGAGAGAGGTGGGTGTGTGGGGAGAAAGGGCTTCCCCCCCCTCCCCATGGGGTTATGCTCGCCGCGGGCAGGGGAGTGAGGACCCCCAGGGATGGGGATTGGGGGTGGGCTGGTCCTGGGGGGGGGTGGGAATTGGGGTCCCCAAAGGGGCACGGGTGGAAAGGATGGTGAGGAGTGCAGCGCCTCGTGGGTGCTGGAGCAGCTGGGGATCCCACGGGGAGGTGTGTAACAGGGGTGTCCCCCCGCGGGGTTTGATGCTTTAGGGGGTCCAAGATGGTGTGAGGAGTCTGGAGATGAGATGCTTTTATGGGGCACGGGGGGTCCAGGGACGTGGATGTGTCAGGTGCTCCCCGGTGCTGGGGGGTGACTGGGAGGCACACACCTCCCTCTCCTCCATGTGGGGAGACACGCTGGAAGGGGGACAGGCGGTGACCCCCAGCAGTGGGGTTTTGTCTGGGAGGGACAGGACAGCGATGAGCCCTCAGCAGGTGCTGGTGCCTTGTGTGGTGCAGGTGGGAGATGAGGCCAAGACAACGGCTCCAAAGTCCCTCTCTCTGCAGCGTGGACCCCCAGGCTGTGCTGGGGAGGGTTTGGCTGATGAGATTTCAAACCCTGCGGGTGTTGTGTGGGGGAAGGAGAGGGGCAAGGCTTGGCAGGGGGAACCCCGGCAGCAGCCCAGCCGCTGGTCTTTTGGGAGTGTTTTGTGCTTCTCCTTCCCAGGACAGGGAGGTTTGTCCCCAGGGATGGCCCTTCAGGGGGCTGGTGGAGAGGAGTCAGGGCATGGCTCAGGTAGCTTTCAGGGGACAGAGGTTCATTCATCCCATCCGGAGAGAGATTTCAGACAGGATGTGTCGCTTCCCTGTGCTCCTGCTGCTGCAGAGGGGTCACCTGGGGGCTGGCAGTGTTTGGGGGTGTCTCAGGCTGATGACAAATGTCAGGGACCTTCTCTGAGGGTGCAGGTGCTTGTGCCCTGGCTGGTCCCTCTGCCCTGGCGTATGGGTTTGTTGCTGGCAGGAGCACAGGGACACCCCCACTGGGGGGGATTTTGGGGACAGGAGCTCACAGTGCTTGTGCCCAAACATCATCATAGCTCTGTCCCCCTCTGCCAGCGTGTTCTCACACAATGCCACCCCCTGTGTCTCACCTGCCTCCCCACTAAATCCCCTCTGGATCCCCCCTGAATCCCACCTGCCTTCCCTTGCCCCAGGACTCATCTTGGCAGCATGTGGAGGGAGAGGTGGGGGGATTTCAGAACCAGAAGTTGGGCAGATTTTAAGGGAGCCTTTGGTCCTTGGTCGCTACTGGGGATGGTGAGCAGGGGGCTTTGCCAGGAAGGCAGAGGAGCCCAGGGCTCTTGGTTGGTTTTGTCCCTGGTGCCAAGAAAATGACGCTTTCCCCCCCGAACAAATGTCTCGTGCCCTGGGGGGCAGATCCAATCATGGGTGGATGTGTGGCTGCAGGTCCTGGGAGGCTGCTGGAAGGGAGAGCAGAGGGTGCCCACTCCACACCTCTTGGCAGGGGTTGCCTGTGGGATGCAGATTTAGTCCTGGCTGCCAGGGGTCTGCCGGATGTGGGGGATCCCCAATCCCCAAAGCCCTTCCTCCTCCTCCTCCTCCTCTTCTTCCCTGTCTTCTAGCTCCCGCTTTCCCCGGCCAGGTGGCCCATGGCTTATATAATGTGCTCAAACCCTGGAATAGCTCCTCCCGTTACACAACCACCCAGCCAGCCATGGGGGGGGGGATGGTGGGGGGGATTCCCAGCTGGATGCTCCCCCTGCACTGGCCATGACCCCCCACACCTGCAGCACTCGGCCCCAGAGTCGTTTGCCGGGATTGTGTCCCCGTTGGGGAAGGTGACCTCATTGTGGCAGTCATCCCCCCGCTCCTCCATGTGCTCAATAATTGCTTTTATTTGTAGTAGTTTTATTACTCTCCCCCTCCCCAGAGTGGTGATGGGCCTTGGAGCTGCCTGTGCCTCCTCCTGACTCCTTGCCCAGCAGAGCAAGTGGCCCCCAGGATGAAAAACCTGGGGGGTGGCTGCTCCCCTTCTCCATCCTCCTTCCTTATTTAACCATCTCTGGGAAAGGTCTGGCAGGGCATCCCCAAGGGATTGAGGAGAGTGTGGCCAGAGGGCCATGGGGCTGGGGGGTCCCATAGGGTTACCCATCACCTGGACCCGCTGCCTCTCCACTCAGCATGAGGGGATTGCTGCCGTCACATGGATATGCTCCTCCTTTCCCTCATCCCTGGCTCAGGAATGGGGTCACTGCAGGGGTCCTGGGGTTGGTTTCCTTTCCCATCGGCTCTCCTCCAGCCAGAGCTGAGAGCAAAGCTTGCTTGGCCTCCCCTGGGAGCCCAAGGGGTTCAGATTGAGGGGGGGTTTGGTCTTTTTGGGGTCAGGAGTAAATCCCAGCTCCTCACCCTCTGTCGTGCCCTTTACTCTGGAGCACCTCCAGGGGAGCTGATGGATCTCTGTGCTCGCACCCCTGTGTGGTGCTTGTCTGGTGTGGGGCTGGTCCCCACCCCTGGCTCCCCCATCCCTACATCCCCAAGCCAGGAAGGAGCCCAGTTGCTTAGCAACTGTTTAGCTTCTCCACAGCCTCCTCATCTATTTTAAAAAATATATATATATATCTGCACAGACGTAGGTATGCACAGGCAGCTGCAGCTCCTGACCCCCCAGCCAGCATCCATATATTCTTTATGAATTGCTTTAAAGTCTGTGAGGTGTCAAATTTTGGCTGGGCAGCCATAGGACAGGATCCCCTCAGCTCAGGGAAATAGGGATGGAGGTGCTGGGATCAACTGTCACCAACCCCTTCCTGCTGCCCCTTTCCATGGGCAGGATCCCTGTGGCTTGGGGCTGGAGGGCAGGGCTAACGAGCCCCAGGTCGGCCGCACTTTTAAAGCCAGATTTGCCTTTTTTCCTCATTCCTGAAGTTCTGACTCATGGTTTTTGGCACTGGAAGGCAGCTCCGGAGAAGGTCAGCCCAATTAATGGCAGTAACTCCGGACTTTTCCTCCTTGTAATTCCAACCGGGTGTTTAGAGGAGGCCGACTGCCTGGCGGTGGTGTTCTGGCATGTTTTGTGTCCTGAAAAAAAGACCTCCCAGCTGTCCCCACGGCCCGGGTAGGGAGCAGCCTGGGCTGGGGCTGTAAATGATTCGGGGACAGGGCTGTGATTTCAGTGGGTAGTGGTGTGTCCTGACGAGATCCTGGCGGGCAGGGGGAACCACGGGGATCACCCCTCTCACCCTGTCTGGAGCGGCTGGAGGGTCCTCACCTCATCTGGGCTGGCCCTGTGTTGAGACTGAGCTCTGGCACACTCAGTGCACGAGTGGTCCAAGGAGCCGCCGTCCTGGGCTCGCCGCCCGCATCCCGTGCCCACATCCCGTGCCCGCATCCCGGCACGCGGGTACTCGCGGCCGCCCTGCCTGGTGCAGCTGGATGTGGCGAGAATTAATGGAGCACCGGCCGGAGGCGGCTTTAATTAGCGCCGAGGCACGGGGAGGGGGGAGGATGCCCAGGGACCGCTGCCGCCTTTCCCCGCCGAGGGAGAGACGCCGGGAGAGCATCCAGGCACCCGGGAGAGCATCCAGTCACTGCCGGCCCTCCGCTGCCAGCCCTGCTCCCCCCGGGAGAGCGGCTCCCTCCGCATTACAGCGGCAGGGCCCTGCGGCGGCTGCTGCCTCAGCGCCGGGGGGCTGTGGGCATGGCTGGGGTGCTGAGCAGGGCCCACGGGGGGATTTGAGCAGAGCCGGCTGGGAAGGGGCTTGTTCTGGGTTGGAAAATAAAAGGGCCAAAGCAGTTCAGTGAGATACCCCACTTTTTCTGCTCGTTTTCCTTGTTTTCTTCTTTCCCTTCGAGCTGGAGCTTCTGAACCCTTGAGCTGGGCAAAGCCCATGTGGGGCAGCCCCAGGGCTGGGACATGGGGACAAACACAATGCGGTGCCACCCCACCAGGTGCCTCGGGGTCACAGCCCACCTGGATGGAAACCAGCAGCCCCAAATCCTGGCAGGATGGAGAGACTGGGCTTTGCACCCCTGGCTGTGTGACAGGGGCACAGTGCGGTCTGTCTGTCCTTTGTCTGTCCTGGTAGTCACTAAGTTGGCACTGCAGGTGCCCAGGTCCTCCACACACCTTGGATGTGATTCAGCATGGCTGGGAAGGGAGGGAGAGACCCAGCATGTGGGATGGTCCCTGGCATGGGATGGGAATGGAGGATGGTGGTGGAAAATGAAGAGGATGGAAAATAGGGATGAGGATGGAGAATGAAAATGGAGATGGAGGTTGGGGCTGGGGGATGGAGATGGTGGCTGGGGGTGGTGAGGAGGAAGGAGATGAGGAAGAGCATGGAGGATGAGTATGAGCACGGAGATTGGGGATGAGAGTGAAGATAGGGATGGAGGATGAGTATGGAGGATGGGGCACCTCTGAACTTTTCCAAAAGCTCTAATCCAGGCAGCAGGAAGTAACTGTGAGCTGAAAAGCTGGTTTGACCTCCCCAGGGTCCAAGGTGGTACATGGGAAGAGGATCAGGATCCCAAAACATGTGGGTGAACAGCTTGTTAATATGAGAAGAGAGGGATTTGCTCAGGAGTTTCCCTAGCAGCTCTAGCCCATAGTGCCAGGGGGTTTGGGCCCTCCTGGGTGGCAGTAAGGGAATTTGGGAAGTGGGGATGGATGCCAGTGACTGTCCCCAGCTACATCCTGCAGCCCTTAGGAGTCCATGGAGACACAGCACTGGCCCCAAGACACCTCCTGTCCCTCTGGGCAAGGCGGCCGGGCAGCAGCTGCCAGTGATTGATGTTTTGTGGGTAATTACTGCAGATAATTAAATATTTAACCATCATCTTTATTATCGGGGTAGCGCCGAGCCAGGCAGGAAAACGCTGCCGTTTGGGCAGGGCCATGCTGGTAAATTTGGGGCTGGCAGAGCCGGGTGGTCCCCGTGTGGTGGCCGATGGATTGAGGTTGTGGTGGTGGTGGTGGTGGTCACTCTGTGTCCCTGAGCTGTCCCTTGCAAGTGCAGGGCATCTCTGGGGTCCTCCTTTGGGGATAGGGAGGGCACAGACCCAGCCTGGGGGACATGGGCTCCCTCTGTCCTGGTGTCTTGTCCCCATTGTCACCAGAGGTGTACGACTGGCTGTGTTTGCCACCCATGGCTGCCCTTGTTTAGAGCTGGGGGGGTTGTGGGTGGTTTTCCCATTCCTTTTTTTTCTTGGCCATGCTGTGGCTGAGGCAGGGGTTGGTGTCAGCTCTCACAGTGGATATTGCTCACAGCTGAGGAGACACCAGGTTGCAACACCATGTCCATCCCCAGACCAGCTCCTCCTTCCTGGCCCCAGTTGAAGGGGGAAATTCTCCAGCCACATCCTTTTCATGGAGCGTTTCCTGGTGAATCTGCATGCTTCCCCTGCCATGCAGCCCTCTCCCACAGGTACCCATCCAGCTGCTGGTTTATCTTCATCTACCTCCCCAGCTCTCTATCTGACACTCTCTCAAGGTTTCTCAGCAATGAATTTATCCACTGCCGGGCTTGGGATAAAATTAATTCCCACCGGGGAAAAGCAAGCAGAGGCTGCTGCGGAAAGCAGCCTCTCTTTCCCCATCTCCTTCCCTGAGCCCCTCTGTGGGGGAAGGTTTCTCAGTGGGGACCTTACCCCATTCTTTAATTTCCTTCCTGGTTTTTGGCTCCATGTCCTGATGGAAGAAAGAGGAAGAGGAGTTCCCAAGCTGTTTTTTTTTTTTCTGCAGCATCTCTCCCTTCTCTGGCCTGGAGCCACCCTGGGTTATGGAATGGTTTGGGACCAGGGGTCCCTCATGGGCAGGGAGGGCTGAGCAGGGCAGCTCTTTGTTGTGGGGCTCGAAATGTAGGTGCTGCAGGCAAGGGGGGACTGAGGGACCTTCCAGTCACTCTAACAGGGACAAGTATCCAGGGATTGCAGAGCCCTGGCTGGCTCCTGCTGCACCAGCAGGATCTCCCCCGTGCCTCTGCAGAAATAAAGGCTGTTGGCTCCCTCTGTATGGTAGTGATGGGGAAAAAAATAAAAGGAAAAAAAGCTTTGTAATTAAGCACTCAGCTGCTGTACTCCCTGGGCAAGCTTGTCAGGAGATAAATGACTGTGTGGGGCAGCCAGTGGCAACGGGAAAGCCAGGGATGTCCCTTGGAGATGCCACGGGGTGGGAGTTGCCTTCCAGCCAGGCTGGGACCTCCACCACCCAGGGGAGGGCTCTGAGGCTTTTTCTCTCCTCAAACTACAGAGAAACATCCTCAGAGCCCCTCACAAGCAATCTGTGTTCCCACCCAGGCTCTATCCCACCTGGCATGGCCATGGAAAGCTCTGAACAGCCTGGTGTCCTGCTGGAATGGCACAGCAGGAGCGGTGAGCCCTCCCTGGGCTCGAAATGGTGCGGATCTGTCCATGGTCCCTCTGTCCTCCCTTCATGCCTGTGCTGGGTTGAGGGATCCCTCCTTCCCATCCTTCTTGGGCAGTGTGTGTCAGCCACCCAAGGGTTGGCTGCTTGCCACAGAGGAGACAATGTGCAGGCAACACCCATCCTTGGAAAAGCCTCTCCAGCAGGTTCCCTGGGAGAGAAACATCCCAGAGAAGTGGCTACTGGCAAAAGCTGCATCTTCAAGCCCAAATCCAGCTTGGAGAGCGAGGCAGGATGCTCTGCCTTCACTCCTGATGGTTTCTCTTTGTGTAGGGCTTTGTAAGAGGTTTGTGCGCCCAGGTGGTGCCTCTGCAGCCTGGCCACGCTGGTAATTCAGGCAGCAGATCTCCAGTGGGATCATCCCATACTGGGAAGAGGGCTGGAGCACTGGGCAGGGGAGCTGGGGCATGGCAGGACAAGGAGAGTGAGGAATGGGTGCTCAGCCATGTGCCGATGGCCCGCGGGCACTGGGACGGGGTTGTGTCTGGTTGATCCAGGAGTTTTGGGAGCATCTCCTCCCCCAGGCTCGGGGAGCATCAGCCAGAGCCTCGGCACGGCAGTGCTGTTTGGGAACAGCTGTCCTCTTCCAAGGGGTTATTTTTGGAGCCAAGTGAGGACACATTGACTGTGGTGGCAGAAGGAGGAGGCAGAGACACGTGAAGGTGAAGGAGCAGGGAGAAGGCAGGCGACCAGAGGCCGGTGGGGATCCTCATCTCCCCTTGCAGCTGGCACCAGGCCATAGTGAAGGGTGCCAGGTCATGAGCAGAGGGTGCCAGGCCATGGCCCAAGGGCATCAGCAGGCATTTGCTGGTTGGGCCAGACATCAGGATGTCCCATGGCTGCATCCGAACCAGCCAGTGCAGCTGCGGAATGCAAGGGGATATCTGAGGTCCATTCCTTTGCTGAGTGGGGACAGTGCCTGGGGTGTCCCCAGAGAGCTGTGAGGATGGTTGCCTATCCCTGCTCCAAACTCACACTGGCTGACAGTGGGGTCTGTGGGGCTCAGAAGGACCCCTGCCCACCTATCCTGCTGCTGCTGTATAGTCCTGGGTCCCACACTTTGCCAGGTTTTTTCCATACAAGGCTGGCAGAACATCCTTCTCTCTTTCCCATGAGTCAGCCCTCTTGGCAGGGTGATGGGAGTAACCTCAGCCTTGCTTTGTGGATGAGGAAACTGAGACAAGGCACAGGAAGATCTCCCAGTCACTGTCCCCACCAACTTGCTTTTGAGACAAATTTTGCCTTCAGGTCCTGGCAGGGTCCCCTTGCCCTCACGGGATGGGAGGGGAACCAGGGCAAGGACCGACCCCTGACTCTTTCTCTCCCTCCCAGGTGATCATGGCTCTCTACAACAATGGGGCCGATGTGCCTTCGCCCCAGGAAGCCTCCAATGGCTTCTCCCAGCCCGGCGCCTCAGGAACGTGGCACAAGGGTGAGGAGGAGGTGCGGCTGGTGGAGCCCAGCATGGTGAAGAAGGCTCACCGGGAAATCCTGGACCACGAGCGCAAGCGGCGGGTGGAGCTGAAGTGCATGGAGCTGCAGGAGATGATGGAGGAGCAGGGGTGAGTGGCGGGGGAACTGGGAATGGGGTCCTTGTGACCCGCTTGCACCTTGTGCTTCCCCTTTAAAAAAATACCTGGATGTGGCAAATGTGCCCATTTGGAAGTAAATCCACTTTTGGGTGAATCGAACAGCTTTGGGGTGAACTGGTGGGTTGGTAGGGGGGAGGGAAATGCCTCCAAGAAACTCAGGCCTAGGAGTGCATCCACACCTATTGGAGGTTGGCCCCTCTGCTTGGAAATCTGGGCTCCCAGCTTGTCATGCAGGGAAAGCTGAGGCAGGAAGGAGGAGCAAAGTTGCTCGTGGTTGTGCAAGTCATCAGTGCCACCCATCCTGTGCCCCCCATGCCTGGGGTGGGAGATGATCTGCCTCTGCCTTTTGTGTTGGGGAGATGAAGGAGATCAGGGGTTTAGTGCCAGGAAAGGCTCTTTTGGTACTTTTTTTTGTCCCACCTTCCTTCTTCTTCCAGTTTTGGGGTTGTAGGACCCCCTCTGTCCTGCCAATGCCACGGCCAGGCACCACAAGCTTCTCCCCAGCCTTTGCTCTCCCCTTGGGAAAGCAAAGGACTGGGGGAATATGCAAGGGGCTGGAGAACATTCCTGCCTGGGTGGGCAGGAGAGGCTGGGGGGCCAGCAAGGAGATTCCCATCCCTACCAGATGGACCCATGGCTATGCTGCTGGCTGCCCCATAGCTCTGGCACCGGTCAAACATCCTGCTCCCCCTGACAACTCACTAAAACCTGATGGATGGAGCAAATTCTTTGGCACATGTGGGTAGATGGGGACTGGTACCAGCTGGGGAGAAGGAAAATGGATTGAGGGAAGGCTTTGCCAAGGCTTTCATTAAGAGTGCAAGCGTGACCTAGAATTAAATTGTCTCACACAGACTGGAATAGTGATTGTGCCTAATTTGTCATTACGGAAATAAATAAGGCTGACCTGGCGCTTTGGGGAGCCCAGAGCCTCCTGTCGGGTTCCCCCACTCTACTAGGGCTCTTACTACTGGTAGTATCATTACTACAGTGGGTAAGAGCAACGCTGCAACTGGTATTGTTGTTATTGCTGTAATTGCTTTGCTGTTATTAAGGCTATTAATAACGATGATGGTGGCGATACGCCAAAATGATAACATAATTACAGTAATAATCTTGGTCAACCTGGTTAATCCTCTCCCTGCTCTTCCCCTCCACGCAGGGGTTCTCTGGGAGGGTTCCATGGGAAGCACTCTGCACCTCCAAGGTTTCTATCTGGCCTGGGAGCTGCATCCTGACCATGGCCTAGGGGGAGTTGTTGACAGGGACAGGGCCCCCGGGATGGATGTGAGTGTCAGCAGAGGGGGTTTTGCAGGGATTTAAGCACTCCCTTGTTTCCTTAAAGGCGGATGGCTCCTCCTGCCTGCACTGTAGCTCGCTCCAGGCTGCCTGCACCGTTATTCCCTGCCTGCAGGCTGGATTCCTTGCCCGGAAAAGAAGTGTCAGCATTTTTTCTTTCTTTCCCAAACCCACTCTATATGTTAAATGCAAAAGCAAAACCCCTTTAACGAGGTTATAAGCAGCACCAGAGGAATGCAGGAGGGAAGGAGCTGGAGAAGGCACTGGAGGTGCTGGGGGGTGCCTCACCCTGGCCTCCCCCCGCAGATTTGCTAAAGGCCCAGCCATGATGGCCCATCTGTCACCTCCTGTTTGGCCTCATGTCCCCTCTCCGAGAGCATCAACCGCATTCTTAATATGCTGCAGCAAATGCTCATCCCGGGCAGACATGTTCCTGCTGCCATGGGCCAGCTGATGGCTGTGGGATGGCCGTGGGATGGCCGTGGGATGGCTGGGATTGGTGTCTCATCCTTGGGGGGTGATCACACCATGCCCAGCTGGGTGCACTGCCATTGAGGCTGTGGGACAGAGCAGCATCTGGGGGTGCTGCCCTGTTTTTGGGGCCCCCCCATGCCCGGGTACAAGGTGAGGGGAAGCAGCCAGGCTGCCTCCTTGCCCTGTTAGCAGCCCTCCTCCTGCGTGGAGTCCGGCTGGGCAATTAATGAGAGCCCTTCAGCGCAAATGAGCTTGTTAATATTAATTCCCCTCTCCTCTCTGTTCCCCTTCATGGGCACTGCGGAGGGGTGGGTGATACCACGTGCCCCTCTGCACCCAGGGCACCCAAGGGCACCCCCAGCATTGTGAGGGGCATTACTGTCCCCAGCATGGGCACTGTGAGGTGCCAGCCTTGGGGACCAGAGGGCTCTGCCAGGCTGTGATACCCAGTTTTCTGGTCTTGTAGCAGCAATACTGATGGAATGTGATGGCAATGGTGGGTCACGACAGCCCTTGTAGAAGGGTGAGAACAAGGGCACACACAGAGCCTGACCCCTTCCCTCCCAGTGTGGCAGCATGGTGGTCACACAGGGTCCCTCTCTCTTTGCCCTGTCCTCAGGGATGATGCCAGGAGCATCATGGGTCTCTCCACGACATCCCTCCATCGGGATGTTTTCAGTCGAGGAAGTTGGGATGTTTGTAGTCAGGGAGGATGTCAGGTGCCCTTGTGCGGCCGTGGGATGCGGCACAGGACCACCCGCCCGGGGCTGTCACCTGTCCCTTCCCAGGGACACCTTGGGGATGGCTGGAGTGCCGTGGTTTGCCGAGTCTGTTCCCAGATGCCAGGGACAAAGTGATTAGTGCCTCTCGTTAATAAGCCTGCAGTGGCCTGAGTCAGCGTTCAGCATTAGCGCAGAGCTGGCTCGGCTGCCGGGCCCCAGCACAGCGCAGGGATGAGAGAGGGAAACTCGTGGTGGGATGGAGATCCTGGGATTGAACCCCTGGCCCTGCTGAGAGGGTGTGGCAGCATGTGCCCAAAGCCTGGGACAGTAATGGGGAATGGCAACCTCATGGTCATCCTCTTCTTTTACCCCTTTCTGACGTCCCTTCCTCTGCCAAGCACTTCTGGGAGGGGCAGGCAGGAGAGAGGAGGGCATAGAGGGTGGTGGCAGGGGGCCAAACAGAGATCCCGCTCTCCTCCAAGCCCTGATGACTGTCACCATACCACATCTCCTTCTGACCAGCCCTTTGGGCCATGTGTCAATCCCCAATGACAAAGGTATGGAGGTCACCAGCAGCTCCGTGGGGAGCCCACGCTCCAGCCATGGCAATCCTGACCATGTCTTTGCCCATCCAGGTACTCCGAAGAGGAGATCCGGCAGAAAGTGGGGACCTTTCGGCAAATGCTGATGGAGAAGGAAGGTGTGCTCACCAGGGAGGACCAGCATGGGCGCCAAATGTGAGTGAGAGAGCTCCCAGTTGGCTCATCTCTGCATCCTTCCTGTCTCTCATCCCAGAGAGGCCTCTCCCGGGTGGCAATGGCTCAGCAGGTTGGCTGCTGTTCTGTAACCCTAGAAATATTACTGTTATCAGTAATAATAATTAATAATAATGATAATAATTTCTGTTGTAAGGGGCCCAGGCTGGACAGGCAGGGCTGAGCCTGCCCCTCCTCTGGACAGACCCAGAGCCTGTGTCTCCATCAGGCTGGTGTAACCCCAAGGAGCCCCAAGAAAGAAGCTTCTCCAAGGAGCTCCTGCCCTGTTCCTCTGCCTTCTAATCATTCTTCATGCTGCCTGGTCCTGGGGGCCTCCATCTGCCCTGAGAGGGGTTTGGAGCTCAGGTTTGGTGTCCAAAGCAGCCCAGCTGCTGCTGGGAACGTGCCAGTTGCTCCTCCTGCCCCACACAGGACTGTCCCCAGCCTCACCAGGGTCCGCCCCGGCTCAACGATGATTTATCTGCACGATGCTTAATGGCCCAGGCAGCGTGGCTGGCCTGGCGTGCACCATCCATCAGCCTGGAAACCAGGTCACTTGGGACAGGAATAGAGAGTGCAGGTTCACTGAATATTAATGCTTCATTAGGGTCAGGAAATCAGGGCGGGGGGGGAAGCAGGGAAGCCGTGGTGGCAGGGAGAGCCTTCCTCACACCAGTCCACTGGCACAGCAGGCAGGGACAGACACAGAGACAGACACATGGACATGGCTCTGCTGTGCCCTGCCCGGGATGGGCTGCATGGCCTTGGGGCAGCGTGAAGCATTCAGAGTCCTTCTCCAGGCAGGAAAAAACCAATGGATGGGGAAAACCAACCCGCCCAGGTCACAGAGCATCAAGCCTGAGGTGTTAACAAGTGGCCTTTGCTGGTGGGGGCAGGAGTCATCTCCAGGGCATCTTCCTGGCAGGCTCGTTGGGGCTGGCATGGTAAGGAGCACCTGGGAAGCTGAGGGTGTGTTATGGTTACCCAGGCAGCCCTGGCTGTCACCTTTACAGGCTTGGTTTTGCAAAACGAAGGGTAATCATTAAAGATTAGCCCCAGGGCTATAAATAATAGTGCTGAGCTGGAAGGAGCAGTCTCACAGCAAAGGATTGCTTGGAGGAGAGCAAAGCCGGAGGCGCTTGAAGGAGGATGGCAGGAGCTGGGTTCAAAGGAGGTGGCTCTTCAAGCAGCAGGAGGATGTCCTGGGTGTCAAAGGTCTCTGGGAGATCAAGAGGTTGGACAAGGGAGTTAAATAAGCTTTAAATAAGGAGCCTCATCCCTTGTGGTGGCTGGGAGAGTGCTCAGCAGAACATCTCGTGGGCTGGTCCTGCTCCAGCACCTCTCTGGGCTTTTACAGCTCGGTCCTTGGCTGCCGGGGCTGTGAGTCTCAACCAGCTGATCTCATTTCAAAGCTGAGGTGAGAGCTCAGCATCATCTGCATAACTCCCCAGGGGAGACTGAGGCACTGAGCAAAAGCCATGACCACCTGAGTCCCTGGCTTTGCTCTCTGCACTCTCCCAGCTCCCGTCTCCATGTGCACAGCCCGGTGATACAGCCCAGTCCCCAAGGAGAACTGCTTGATGGACAGGCTGGTGGGATTACAGACAAAGGCAAGCGTGTGCCGGGCAGGGAGGGATAATTGGAGCAGCACAAGCTGGTCTTGAGCCGCTGAGCACAGCTAATGGGTGAGATGCTGGCAGCAGGCTCTGGTGTGGAGCACTGCCTGCTCGCAGAGCAGAGACATACAGGGAATTATCCCCGCTCGCTTCTCTCTTTTCCTCCTTCCCCCCCACTTCCCATGGTTGGGTGGGTGTTTGAAAGGCTGCTCCTGCCCTTGGGGCATGGCCAAAGCAGGAGTCACTTGGAGAGGACCCAGAAAGCCATGGCTGCAGTGCAGAGGGGAGCCCGAGACCCGCTTGAGCGATCGCCTGTGATTAGGAGGAGGGTGCCTCGTGCGTAGTTTCGCTCCAAGACATTTTTAATTGGGTTAAACAGCCCGTGGCCTGCCTGTGGCCAAGGATGCCAACACGTGCTGCTCTCAGATTTGGTCTGGGGCTGAGGGCATCCATTCACTCAGGCAGTGTCCAGGCTGCCAAGGGACTGATGCTGCGGGGGCTGCACTTCTCCACCAGTGTCCCTGGCTGCACACCTCCAGGATGGGAGGGGTGGAGCAGCACATCAGGTTTCCGAGGGCAAATCTCCCTTGGGAAGCAAACACCTGGGCTGGTTTGGTGCTGAGCACCCTCCAGGCATGGCCCCATCCATTACGGTTCCCTCCAGAGCATCTGGATGGCCACATCCCTCCCTGGGTGACATGTCCTACATCCCCCCAAGAGCAAAGGAGAGGCTCCCTGTGGGGTTTGATGCTGCTCCTGGATGGCACAGCTGGACCAGGGAGGTGGAGATAACAGGGAGAGATTGGGCAGGGGCTCCTAGGACCCTCCTAGTCCAGCTGCCAGACCTCTGCCAAGCCCTGCCCACAGCCCCAGTAGTCAGTGGCAACCTCACGCTGGTTTCCATGGCAGTGGGAAAAATTAATGCTGATGAAGTCACTCAGGAGGGAGAGGAGACCCTGATGGCTCAAGGTATGATGCCCCCCCCCCTCACCTGGCCAGGTGGGGACATCAACCATCAGCTGCCTGAAGCTCCTGTGCTGAGCAGGTGGCACCCTGGGGCACCAGCCTCAAAGCCCAGATTATCCTGGGCAGCTCCCAGCTGAGTTCCCAAGTTTCCTGCCAGCTCCTCTTACCCTTATCCAACCCACCTGGGCCGATCCAGCCTCCAGCTCAGCCCCAGCACTTGGGCAATCACAAAAGGGGCTCCCAACGCTGCCGAGGCTGGATCCTGCAAGGAGAAGGTGGCCCGAGCCTCGTGGTGTCCCTGTGCCAGCCCTGTGGGGATCTCTGGAGTCCCAGGAAGACCATGAGAAGACCCCCACCACGGGGCTTTGCTGTGTGGGGACCTCAAGGGATGTGACCAAGTCCCCTGGGGATGCTGTGTTGGAGGGGATGTCCCCCAGCCGCTGCAGCTGCATTGGGGCTGCCCTAGGCTTCCCCCCAGCCGGTGGAAGACAGGGAATGGGGATCCCCGAATTAATCCCGCGCTTCCTCCTTTGGCAGCGTGATAGAAAACCACCACGGGGCGGACGGGGAGGAGTACGCGGTGGAGTATCCCGACTACGGCGAGGGCTGCCTGCTGCAGTGCGACTGCTCGGCCGAGTGCTACCGCGAGGACAGCGGCCACCGCGAGTACAGGTCCGCGGGGATTTCGGGAATCGGGCGTGCACGGTATTCCCGTGCAGGGATACAGAGGCCAGGGAGCTGGTCCCTTCTTCCCCCGACCCTGCATGCTGTCTCCCACAGGCTGAAAAGGCGCTCGAGTAGCTCTACTTCTCCTCCCCCCAAGAAGAAAAAGAAGAAGAAATCAGGTCACCGCCGGAGCCGGTGAGTCCCCGGCTGTCCCTGCGCTGTCCCCTCTCCCAGGAGGGCAGCTCTGCTCCCAGCTCAGCCTTTCCCCAGGCTCTGACGGGGCAAGTTCTCCCACTTTGGTGGTCAGTGCCCCTCCAAATATGCACCCTTAAGAGGTGCAATGCATCCGCATGTGCTGATATTGCAACACGCACACGTGTGCACACACCTCCTGCATGCACTGGTCCGTGTGGGGAAGGAGCTGGCTGCTGCAGGGCACAGCACCGGGCAGGATTTGGCTCTGTGAAGGGTCTGGCTCCACCTACCCCCTGGTCCCCTCCCTGGCTAGCACTGGCTGCCTGAGAAGATGCTGTCCCTAATGTCCCTTTTTTCTCTGCCTTTCCCATGGCAGCAAAAAGAGGAAACCTGGCTCGGAGCGCAGGTGAGTGTTCACTGGGCTGGGTGGGCTGTGAGGTTCCTGCTGGGATTGCAAGCCCAGGGGCATGGGCTGGCCTCCACAACCCACTGTCCCCCTCTGAAATCCCAGTGGGAATTGGTCACTTTGTCTCCTGCTGGAGGCTGTGGAGCCCACGAGGTGGCAATGAGACACAGCAGGATTTGAGCAGTCTGGCATCAAAGGCATCCAGAGCCCTTCTGCCAGAAGTCCCTTTCTGTCACCAACCCCAAATCCCCCAGGAAATAACTCCCATGAGATGTTTGTGCATCCCGTGGGATGGTCCAGGGAAGTGTGGGGGGGGGGGCATTGGGAGTGGGACTCCCCTGGGCCACAGGGATGGGGCTGGGGAGTCCCTTGCTCGTCCCTCAAGGGCACCCACTTCCCCCCAGCTGTGACAGCTCTTCACCCATCCGCAAGGAAAAGAAAAAGAAGACTGGAAAGAAACACAGACGTGACAGGTAGGATGGACACCGTGGCAGGCTGGGGACACCAGGCATGACTGGGGACCATGGGGCTGTTTGGTGACTGCCCAAGCCCTTGGGCTGGGGTGGGATTGAGGCATGGATAGGGATGGATGCTGATGACTCTTTATGAAGCCATCACCGCTTCACAGCTGCTGTCACCTGCCCAACTCAGCAGCCCATCTTGGGGCAACACCCTTGTCCTTGTCCCCATCCCTTGGGGCTGCCCAGCTGACCAGGTCAGTGTGTCTCCTTCACCTCTGCCTCTTCTTCATCCCTCAGATCTGAGTCAGGGTCACGGAAGAAGAGAAGACACAGGTAAGAGTGACGTCTGCCGGGAGCCACCCCACTGCCACCGGTGCTGGCTGTCAGCTTCCTCTACCAGAGACCCCCTGTTCCCTGCCTTCCTGCTGTCCCCCTCCCCTCTGCTCACAGTGATGGACCCCCTCATCCCATGGCTGGACACTGCTGTGTGTCTTCCACCCTTGGGCATAGCACAGGGCCACTCTGGGTGACTGTGGGGTCCCACATGGCCCCTAATGTCCCCTAGGGAAGAAAAGGGGATTCCAGGCAGCCATGGCCAGGACAAACCCTGGCTGTTGCCCTACTCTGCAGATGCCTTCTGGCAGCACTGCTGTTCTAGGGTGAAAGAAGTGAAAAACAGACAAAGGGTGTCTGGGAAAGCAGAGGGTCTCAGAGGGGACTGATGTAGGATGAGACAAGTATAGGGTGACAACGGGCCCAAGCCCAGAGGATGCTGAGCAGAGCCAGGCCCCCCCTTCCCACTGCCACCCGCTCCTGCCTGGCCTCACCAGTGGGCACCTGACCCCCATGGTCCTCCCAGAGCCATCTGGGATCCCCACTGTGCTTTGAATCTCAATGAATTCCAGCTCCAGACCATGCAGGTTCTTCCTCTCGCTCCTCCTGCGGCCTCGGTGCCTCTGGGGGAGGCTGGGGAAGCCACCCCCAGGTGCTGCCTCTGCTCCTGAAATTTCCAGCTCTTCCCACAGGTCCCGAAGCCCCAAGAACAAACGGAAAGAGAAAAACAAAGAGCGCAAGAGGTGAGGGGCCGGGACGGCGGGGGGAGCGGGGTGCTGTGCCCCCCCTGCGTGCCCCAGGAGCGACTCAGCCTCCCCCCGCGGCCCCGGCCGCCCTCTCCGCAGGTCCCGCAGCGAGTCCCCGGCCTGGCGCTCGCACCGGCGCAGCTCCTGCAGCTCCCACAGCGCCTCCCTCTCCTCCGACGACAGCGGTTCCAAATCCCCCGGCAGGTAGGGACAGCCCGGGACAGCCCACGACCAACAGCCCCCCAGTTTCGGCGGTGTGGGCTGGAGGGCAGGGACAGAGATGTCTGTGTGGTGGGCACCCCGATGTGGTGGAGGGCAGGAGGTGGGTGGCAGAGGTGTCCCAGGGATGGGGACCTTTGTGGAGGTGGGTGGCAGAGGTATCCCGGGGATGAGGACAGGAGGAGGGTGGCAGATGTGTCCCGAGGATGAGAACCCTTTTGGGGAGATGGAGGGGAACAGGATGGTGCTGCAGAACCTCTGGAGGGTTTGGGAGAATCTCAGGCGGGGGTCCAATTTTTGAGTAGAGAAAGCACAAAACACCAATTCTCACCCCATTTCTGGCTTTGGCGAAGCCTGCCCCGCAGCCTGGGCTGTTCTGCCGGGCCGGGCGGAGGGCAGTGCCGAGCTCGGGGACGGGGGTGCCGGCGGCTCACGGTGCTGTGCCCCACAGGCTGAGCCCCAAGCGCCGGCAGGATGGTCCCAAAGGCAGCAGCGCTCGCTCCAGCCGCAGCCCGTCCTCGCCCTCGCCCCAGCGCTCGGCCTCGCCGCACCAGAACGGGCACAAGGGCAGCGCCCAGAACGGCCGCCACAGCCACGGCGCCCCGCTCCCGGAGCCCTCGGATGTACGTAGGCTTTTCTTGGATCACTCTTCGCTTCCCTCCCCTCCTCCCTCCACAGGACTGCCCCCCTGCTCTCCTCTCCGCTCCTTCCCCACTCGCTCGGCTCCCCGCCCTGCCCAGCCGGGGCACACGGGGGAGATGCACTCACCAACTCTGCACTGGGTGCACGGTCTCTCTGGGGGAGCCAGCCCGTCATCTCGGGGCAAGGATCAGGGCAGCCAACAAATCATCCCTCCCCCAAAGCCGCACATTACCCTGCAGATGTCACCCCCGAGACGATGGCTTGGCAGGCCAACGACACTGCCAGGGTCACCACTGGGCTTAGCACCTACCTGAGATTGAGCCCAGACAGCCAAGAAATGGGTACAGCTGGAAAATTCGTTTCCCCACCAGCCCAAACCCTCCCCAGTGCCAAGGGGCTGACACCAATGCTCAGGACTCCAATACCCAGTCTGGCCAGGGTAGTGTTCGGAGGGGATTTGGTGCTGGATGCTCAGATTTTAGGGTCCCCATGGCAGGTGACATTGGAGCTAAGTGTCCCTGGCTCTGCCTCATTGTCCTGGGATGTCCCAATGAAACCTGGGGGGCTACTCCAATGCTGAGTGGAAAACCCTAATCCCGTGGGACAGAGGGACAGTCCCAGTTTAACCAGTGCCAGGATGGCAAGGAACCTGCTTTGGCTAATAGGGACTGGAGGCAGAGCTGACTGAAGGCAGTGTGCTGCATGACTCCACTACTGGGGGGCACACAGGTCCCCACTCACCTCAGGGAACTTCATTCCCATGGTGAGGTGCTGTGGGGACACTGCCAGGCTGGCAGCACCCTGTGCTGACACCCCAACACCTGCAGGGCCAGGGGCACCCCGGAAAATGGGGCCAGGAGCCCCCCGCCCCATACCCACCTCCCCTTTACCCTCCCCAGCCCAGCACCCCCCAGCAGCACCCAGCACCCAGCCCATCTCTTGGAGCACCTCTCTGCTTTCTTCTTTCCTGTGGTTTTGGCTGGGGTGTGGGGGGGTTCGGGAGCCCCCCAGGCACCCGGCTCGCCCCGCTCTCCCCCTGCCCACCCCCCAGCACCGCCCAGGCCGACGAGCTCCCTTGGCTCTCTGACACCAGCGGGACTTTTCTCCAACAACTTTCTCTCTTTCTCTCTTTCTCTCTCTCTCTCTCTTCTTTCTCTCTCTGGTTTCTACTTTTTATTTTTTTTTCTTTTTAATCCCATCTGTGTTTTTCTTTAGCCTCCCATTTGAAAAAAACCCAAACGGTAATATACACTTCCATTTCTTGCTCAGCAGAAGCAGGGATGAGGGGGAGGGAAGGGCAATGAAACGTGCTTTTTTTTTTTCCCGCCCCCTTGTTTTAGTTTCCTTTCTCATGATTTCTTTTCTTTTCCCTTGTGATGTACAGAAATGCAAACGATATATATTTCTCTTATTTTCATTTTTCCCCCCCGTCGTCGTCGTGTTGTTCTAGAATTTTTTGCTTTTGTGTGTGTTAATGTGGAGAAGAAAAAAAAAAAACAAACAACAAACCCAAACCCAAAAACCAGATGTGTTTTCTAAATATTTACGACCACTGAACATTGTATTTCCATTTTCTATATTTTGAACAAGGAATTTAAAAGGGAAGAGAACCCAGCAGGCCTCCACTGCAAAAGAAATGGGCTTGTTTCCATCTCATGGAGCGAATTGCCCTTTTCCTCCTCAGATTGGCTACTGTCCCGTGTCCTCAGCTGGATCCTGCTGCTGTGGGGATGGTTTTCCTCCCTGGCTGCAGGATGAGGCTGCTGGGTGCTGGGTTATCCGAGCACCCCACAGTCATCCCACACCCAAGTACCCATATCCTGCATCCCGGCAGGACGGATGCTGAGCATCCTTGGTACCCAGCTCCTTTCCCATCTCCTGCAGACCCCCAAAAGCTCAGCCCATCCCCCAGATGAGCTGTGTCCCCCCTCAGCACCCCCAGAGCTACCGGGAGCAAGGGGTGCCCCGGGGCGCTGCACGGTGTTACCTTCCCTTTTAAATACCCAGTCCTGTCTCCATCCATCCCTGCTGCCTTCCCAGCCTTCCTCCTGGGTCTCTCCTCCTCCTCCTCCTTGCCCACACGCACCCTCCAGCCCCTCTTTCTCTCCGGTTTTCTTTGGGCCAACACAACCCAACATCCCTCGCCGTGTCCCACCTCCATCCATCGCCTTCCCTGCATGTTATCCGGGACTTTGCCATGTTATAGAGTGACTTTTTAAGACTGAACTGCAGCCGGGTTACAGACACCAGCCAGCAACTTCCCCCGTGGCCACCCCGCTCGGCGGCCGGCCACAGCCTTTCCATTGAAAAGCAAACAAAAAAACTAACAAACAAACAAACAAACAAACAAAATTAAAAGCTAAAGAGACCGAATTTAAAAAATAATTTAAAAAAATTCTAAGCAGAGCAAACGGGATTAGCCGAGGGGTCTGGATCGCCGTACTAAAGAGTCCTTGTCTTTTTCCCATTCTGCCCTCCAAATGTGGAGATTATTGTTTTCTTTTTTTATTATTGCATTCCTGTCACTGCCAATTCCAAAGGTAGGTATTTCGTCCACCTCTGCACGTTCACTTCTGCAGATGAGCCTGTTGAAAAGCACCGTAGCTTGATTTAATGTTATTTTCTCTTTCTTTCTGACTTTCTTTCTCTTTCTTTCTCGCTCTCCTTCTCTGTCTCTCTTTCATTTTGTCTCTTTTTGGTGGCTATATATGATTTTTTTGTTTTTGATTTGTATGGTTTTCCCCAGTTAGCTGCAAAGCCATGCTCTTCTCTTAAGTTCTTATTTTGTATATTTTTTTTTGCCCTGTCCACGTAATATTTTTTCTTTCTTCCCCCCTTTTCTCTTCCCCGTCTCCTCGTGCTGTCGGTAGAATGCATTTCTGTGTCTTTCAGCCCTCCGAATTTGTGTTCGTTTCCATGCAGGGGCTGCTCCCTTCGAGTCCCCCCTTAGTGGCCCAGTAACGAAGGCAAACGTAATTAGTGAGAAATAGAGGCAGTGGCCAGGGGTGGGAGTGGGCACAGGGGGGTTTGGATTGAATGGATGGGGCAAAACCTGAGAAATTTGGGGAGATGTGTGGGTTTAACCCCTCTTTGGGTCGTGATGGGGGAAAAAAACCCAGCTCAGGAAAAATACTGGGAGGCTGCAATGGGGAAAGGTTGAAGTCTTCATCTGTGGAGAGGCAGGTCCAGGGCATCGCATTCCCCAGGAGCAGGGGATGGCATCCCAGCCCTGGATGTCCCATCCCCACAAGTGCCCAGTGTGTGTTTTCCCTTTTGGGCTGAGTCTTTGCCGATTTGGGTTTATTTGGGATGCTTTTACTGTCGTTGCCTTCCTGCACCCCTGGGCAGGAGACTGCAGGGTTTGGGTGGGAGCCCCACACCCCACAGCATGGCCAACTGGCACCAAAATGCTGCCCTGGGAAAGAGGAAAGCCCTTTCTTTCTCTCTTCATCTTCCTCTTCTTCTACTTCATCTTCTCTGCTTTTATTTTCCTCTGCCGGGACACGGGGCTGGGAAAGAGCTCAGCTGAACCCCCCCTGTTCTTTCCCCCCTCACTGCAGCCATTGCAACAGCAACAGATTTTTTAAAAAAATCCAAATCCTCTCATTTTGGCTCCAGCTTGCTGCTCTGTGGCTGGAGGGGTTGGCTTATCCATGGGGACAAGGAGGTGGGGTGTGGAGCAATCTGGGATGCTCAGGGATGCAAATGGTCTTGCGACCCTTTCGCAGCATCTTTGTGGTGGTCCCCAGAATCCCACCCCTTCACCCTTCCTGCTTGTTTTTGGGGGAGAAAAGTGGTGTCTAGGACACAGTGTAGAGAGAACTTCATCCTCGAGGATTCACCAGAAGTATTTGGGGCATGGGGATGGCAAGGAATTGGGGTCAGCGGCCCTGGGTGTGGTGGCACAATCCTGGCACCACCCCAATCCCCTGAACCCTCTTCAATCCCCTCGGCTGGACTCCCTGTGCAGGATTCACCCTTTCAGGGATACTCAGGGACCTGGTGTTGGGCTGTGGCTGGGGAAAGGAGACCCTAAAGCCTGGGGTTTGCCAGCTTGGTCAGGACTGGTGGTGCAGGAGCTGTTTCCACCCATCTTTTTGGTTTAGTGATGTTTGCAAAGATGGGGAAAACACCCAGGCAGCATTTGTGGCTCAGAGGATCTCGGATATTTGGGGGCCCCAGAGCCAGACAAAACCCCCTCAGCTCTTGGTGAGAGCCTGGCTCGGGGCTTGGCCACGGTGGTGGCCCAGGGTTTTCCCTCCCTGTAGGAGAAGCGAGTTGGTTTGTTTTATTTCTCCTCTCTCTGGCTCTGTCTCTGTCTCTCCTCCTTCTCTCGCTCTTTCTTTCTCTCTTGCATTTTTGTGAATCTAATGATGCACTTATATTGCCCCGCTTTTCCCTTCTCTTCATACCTTACCTACTAAAGGAGGAAATGCCACTTTTTTGGTAAGTGGATGTTAACCAAGAGGGACTTAAAAAAAAAAAAAGCATATAATGGAAAAAAATAAAAAAAAAAAGGAAGCAGAAAGCAAAGTCTGTGTTGAGTGCTGATGAGGACTTAGCAGTTCCCTGCAGAGTCACAGCTAACAGCTCAATGCGTGTCCCAGGAAGAGCTCAGAGACATTCGTTTATCTCAGTAACGAGGACATTTGTGAAGTTTTGCTTTGTTTTTTATTTATTTATTTTTATTTATTTATTTATTTATTTATTTGATTTGATTTGGATGGTTTTTCTTCTTTCTTTTTTCTGTTGTTTTTTTTTTTTTGCCTTCTCGTCCCCGGCCCCCCTCCCCTGCCTTGCCCTCCATTGTCGCTCTGTGCCGTTTTTTCCTCGTTTCTGGATTTGTTTTAAGCCGAAAGCCGTACTATCGATAAAAACTACACGTATCGGAACATATATCTCTATATATGTGCATGCCTCTGTGTGAGCAGACCCCATCACCTCCAGCCCTCTTTGGTTCGACCCCTTCCCCTCGGCTCAGTCTGATTTACTCTCCCCCACCGCCCCTCTTCCCTCCTCTCATCTTTTCTTTTCCCTGCCCCCGTTTTCCTCCCTTCGTTTGGGTTTTACCCCTCTTTTCCCTCCCCCTTTCTTGGTGGGGGCGGGCGGGCACCAGGGTTTGCTTTATCCCTTCTCCAGGTGTTTTTTTTTTGGGGGGGGGGTTGTTTCTTTCCCTTCAAGCTCTCCCTCCCTGACGACTTGGGGGTTTTCTTGGATTTATTTATTTTCCTCCCATCCCGCCCTTTCCTTTGGGTTTTTTATTACGATTTGAGTTGAGTTATATTTTTTTGGCGTTTTGCATGCGGAGGTTTGCATGACCCACGTTGTTGAGGGCGAGAGGAAGGTGCAGAGTAGCGTCTGTGTAGCCTGCCTTATGCGATGTGCATTGACGTTGTGATCTGCGCCCCCGGCCCGGCGCCCCCCGTTAAAATCCCCTTTCTCCTTCTTTCTTCTCTTCTTCCCCCCCCTTCCTCCTTTCCCTCCTTCTCTCTCTCTCTCTCTCTCTCTCTCCCCCTCTGCCAGAGGCCGGCCTCGGCGTCCCCCTCTCCGCGGGCTCACGGCAGGACGGAGCCGCTTTCCCCCCGCGCCCGGGGGGGCCGACACGGTGCCCGCAGCCCCCGGTCGCCCACGCCGGAGCGGGGCAAGCACGGCCACCGGCATCGCTCCCGCAGTGCCTCGCCGCCCTCCCGACACCGCGGCCAGAGCAAGGGGCGGCCCCCGGCCCCCCGGGAGCCCCCGCCGGCTCCTCTCAGCCCGCCCGGCTACAGCAGTGACTCGGAGGGCTCGGCGGGATCACAGCCCTACCACCCGCCGGCCGGCCCCGACAGGAACCACGGCGCACACGGGAAGAAGTAAGCGAAGAACCCCGGGGTGGGATCGTGTGATCACTGATGGGATATGAGAGCTGGGTTGTGGTATTTGAGGTGCAGCCCCACGCGGGCACCTTGAGTCCATCCAAGGGAAGCTCTGGGGTGTGAGCTGGGGACCTGGGCTGGGTTGGGATGCTCAGGGGATGGGGATGGAGATGGGAATGGGGACAGGGATGGGGACAGGAATTGGGACAGACATGGTATAATGATCGGGATGGGGGAGGAGGAGGAAGTGGATCTGGAAAAAAATAAATAAATTTGAGTTTGGGTTAGGATTATTGAACGGGGGTTAGGTTGTGGATGGGGACAGGAACAGAGATAGGGAAGAGCCACAGTGGGTCAGTGCTAGCTCACTGTGGGAAGGATCATCCCTGCAAGGGTTTATGCCAGTTTGAAAGGCAGCGCCTGGATGGCTGTGCGGAATTACAGCATCCCACAGGACGCAGGATCCCAAGTGCATGAGCACCACACGCTTTATAACCAGAGATGTAGCCCAGCCAAAAACTGGCGTCATGTAGGTGTGCCCACTGTTCTCTGTGGGAACCTGGGATCTCTGGCTCCCATGGGGATATCCTGCCAGCCAGGATGAGACATGAGGCAGTGCTGGGATCTGCCTTCACAGGGTGAAGGAGAGGCACCACCGGGGCCGGCCCAACAGCAGCTCGGAGTCGTCGGCCAAGCACTCCCGGCACACGTCGGAGCGCAGGAAGAGCCCCTCGCCCAGCCCGGGCCAGCGCAGCAGCTCCTGGAGCTCCAGTGGCTCTCTCTCCAAATCCCGCTCCCGCTCCCGGGAGAAGAGAGCAGGACGCAGCCGCTCCCGATCACCCTCGCCGAAAAAACCCGCCAGCAGGTCAGACCCAGGGGGGACTTCAGCCCAGGGGACACCAGAGGTGCCATGAGTGGGCCCAGGGGACACCATGGGTGCCATCAGTGGGCTCAGGGAGCATCTGCGGCTCATGGTGGTCCCAGCTCTCCTGGGGTTTGGGGAGGGGTCTCAGGTCGTTGCTGATGGCACTGGAAGCGCCAGCTCCAGGTGGCAGTGTCAGCTGCCGCAGGGAGCTGCTCTCACAGGGTGTCCCTGGATCCCACCCGGGATCCCAGCCTGCTCCCTGACATTCCTCCTCCTCCTCGGGGTGTAGAGAGAAGGACAACGAGCCCCGAACACGTCACGGTGATCCCGATCCCACCCGCGCCCGGCGCCGCTCCAGGAGCTACTCCCCAATCAGGAAGAGGAGACGTGACTCCCCCAGCTTCATGGAGCCCAGGAGGATCACGAGGTGGGTCCTGGCACGTGGCAAAGGCTCTGCCATGTCCATTGGCACATCCCAGGGCTGAGCTCTGCCATCAGCCAGCCCCAAAGAGCGTGTGGGTGGGGGGATGGACAGGCAACAGATGGATGGATGGACAGATGGATGGATGGATGAATGAATGGATGGATGGATGGATAGATAGATGGATGAATGGATGCATGGCTGGCTGGCTGGATGGACAGACAGATATACATATGGATAGATGGATGTACAAACGGATGGGTGGATGGATGGATGAATGAGTGGGTGGACGGGTGAGTGGGTGGTTGGATAGGTGGATGGATGGACAGACCTGCAGATGGATGGATTGGCGGACGGATGGACAAAAGGATGAGCAGCTCTGCTGATGGACAGATAACCCTGAGGGTGACCGGGTGAATCAGCTGGCCCAGACAGCTGGATAACCAGACTGCCTCCAATACTATGACCTTCTGATCTCTTCCTATTTCAAGGCATGAAAACAGGAATTAATTTTAATCCGGCTGTGCATATTCCAGAAAGACGCACATCCGCAATCACATCTCTCCTCTGCCCTCCGAAAGTCGATTTCTCCTCCTTGGGATCCTATTGCCTCAGGATCCCAAGCTGTAAGACAGGCAATATTTCTGTGCCAGACAAAACACTGTGTGCATATGTAGCACCTCGTTAACATGCAGCGCTGGCAGCAGGGCCGTGCCGAGCCGAGATTACCTCCTTCCTGACCTATTTGTCTCTCCTGCTATCAGCTGGGAGATCAGGGGGCTGGATTTTCAGAAATCAGCTCTGCCTCACTGTGGGAGGGATTTTGTTTTGCCTGGGCTGGACTGGAGTTGTCAGGAGAGAGGACAGGAGCAATACTGCAGAGCCCATGGGTTAGGGCTCCCTGCAGCTCTTCCCTGGAAAGAAAATGGTCTGGGAAATCTGCTCCCAGCCAGAGGAAGGTTTTTCCCAGCCCGGGTACCACTGTTTGGTTTTCCATCCCTCCTGCTCCATCCTGGTTTTGCCAGGATGTCCCCAGGGAGATGGCAGGGCTCAGTTGGAGGACACAGCCTGCAATCCCTGTGAGGACTGTCCCCCCCATCCCTGCCATTATCCCTGGCATGGATGGGGATGGCAGACCCAAATCTGCTTGGGATTCAGGAGGAGCAGAGCCATTCCTACAAGGCCTAGAGGATGCTGTGGGGAAGGGGCAGCTGGGGAAACAGCCCCAGCCCCCCTTGCCTGCCCCATAGTCCAGCCAGAACCCCCAGGGCTTTTCCTTGCCCTCCTGCCCTGCCCCCAGTTCCCATCATCCCCCCCCACCACCACCACATGGTCCTACCTCAGTGATGCCAACCTCTCCTTTTCCATTTCATCCCAAGGTCCCTCTCGGAGAGCATCGCCGCCAGCCTGGCTCCCAGGGTAACCTCCCCCCTTCCTCCTCCTCTTCCTCCTCCTCCTCTTCCTCCCAGACCCCTCTATGTCTCCTCACACCTTAGGATGCCCTTGGCACCCGGTTGCCTTCAGGCCGTGCCTGTGGCTCTCTGGTCCCACTAACACCAGGCCGGGAGAGGGGGCAAGGGGCTGACTCCTGATGTCTCTGCCCCCCGTGGCCTCCATTCCCACTGCCCCCGTGCTTCCCGTGTCTCTCCTCTCGCTCCGGCGCCGGCGGGGCCGCAGCTCGCCTCCCGCTAATCCCGAACGTCTCTTTTTCAGCAGCTTTCAATCTTTGGTGTCTGGGAAACACAAAGGCCACATTAACCTGCTCACTTTCTGCCCTCGACGCTGCCTAATCCAGGACTAACACCCCGGGGGGCGGGGGGCGGGGGGGAGCTGGGAAGGAGGAAGGGGATGGATGGAGGGGGAGGTGACGTCGGGTGGCCACATCCTGACGCCCCGCAACCGGTCTGAGCCTGGTCGCGGGGATGCTCGGCTTCCCTGGGTGGATGCTTGGCCGTGCCGGAGGTCCAGTGCTGGACCCCCTCCCCGAGCTGCCGCCGGGGGCCTCACTCAGATCCCTTTTTCCATTTGCAGTGCTCGCAAGCGTCCCATCCCCTACTACCGGCCCAGCCCCTCGTCCTCCAGCTCGCTGAGCACCTACTCGTACAGCCGGAGCCGCAGCCGCAGCTACGACAGCTACAGCTCCAGCCGCAGCCGCAGCCGGACTCGCAGCCCCCCCAGCCGCTCCCGCAGCCCCAGCCGCAGCCCCAGCTACAACAGCCGCAGCAGCTCGGAGAGCGCCGGCTTCTGAGCCCCCCCGGCACCCCAGCTCTGCCCCCTCCATGCCTCCTGCGCCCCCAGAAGGGACGGGACCACCGGGGAGGTGGAAAAGAGCCGGGGGATGCTAAGGACAGACCTTGGCGGCGGGGGAAAGCGCCGACGGAAACTGGAAGGGGTCCTTGCGTCGCCCATGGAAGGGGCGGTTCCCTCCCCGCTCCGGGGTGTTTTGGGGGTCGGGATGGGGAAGGGGAGGATGTCTTCTTATTTCTGCGAGTGCCGGGGCGGGGTCGGGTGGGGTGGGCGAACACAGAGCGAGGGAACAAACTCTCAGCAGAGACTTTGGGGCGAGTGGGTAGGGGTGGCTCGGGGCCTCCCGGGACCCCTCCCTGTGCTTTTTTGGGTTGGTTTGACTGTTTTTTAGCACAAGAATATCCCGGGGAGGAGGGTGGGGGGGCGTGGCAGGCTCAGCTGGAAGGTGTAATGCCAACCAGAGGTGAGCCCCTGCTTTTCCCCATTGGAAGTGTCCCCACAGTGTCCTGGGGGCACCGTAAAACACTTTGGGGTTCCCCCAGACCTGAGAACATGCCGAGCCATGGATGAACAAAGCCAGCAGCACCCACAAGTCTCTTTCCAAGTGGGGAGATCCAGGGGGGCCACCTATGTGTTAATGCTGCTCATCCCAGCTCAGGAGCTGGCCCTGGCACCCATCCATCCCACCCAATCTGAGGGGACACCAAGTTGTCACCCCCAGGAGGAGGGAGCTGCAAGGCCTAGGGCTGGGCAGGGGATTTCCCACCCCTGGGGGTGCATCCAGCCATCCTCTGGCTTTGGCATGGACCCCACCTCTGGACTGGCTGCCCCCAGGCCCCCCTGTTCTGGGTCTGAGCAGCCCCTTTTTAGACTGAATTATGGAAGGAGAGAGGCAGGAGCAGGACTTTGGGCAGCGCCCCTGCGTCCGGACGGCTATGGGGATGAGCTGGCTGCCCGGGACTTTGCTGATTTGGCAGGCTCCAAAAACCTGAATAGCCCCCCCCACCCCCCCCTGTGAGCCGAGGACACTGGGGGTCATCTCCCAGTCAGGATCTGGTGTGTTAAAAACAGTGCCCAGCCACAGGCTTTGATTCACTGGAGCAGGACGAGGACAGCCCTGGCCCCCCGGGGCAGTCGGTTGGTGTTTAATCCTTGTGGCCCTGCGTTTTCCGGACGGCTGGAGCAGGACAATGGGGATGAGCCTCCCTGGGTGGGACAGCAGCTGCCCGGATTAACCCGCTGCCCCCGGATGAAAAGCCGGGCTTTGGCCCTCCCGCTCGGCGCTGGTTTGCAGGCTCTGGTTTGCAGCCAGGCGGGGCCGGGGCATCCTTTGGACTCGGGCTCAGCTGTGATGCGACAGCCTCGTTAGCCGTGGCCTGATGAACCGGAGGTCCCGGGAGGGCAGAGCTGTGAGAGGAGGGACACTGGGGTCATCTCCCAAATCTGGAATGCTGAGAAAACAGGCTCAGCCACAGGCTGAGGATTCACCAGCCCTTGGAGAAAAGTCCCAGGCCATGATGGGTGCCAGCCCTTGGGTATCCCATCCACCAGCTGGCAAAGCCACCAGCCACCTTCTGTGGTGCCCAGACAAGCAGAGCTGTTAGAAATGGGGTGAACAGGTAAGGAGGGGACTTGTGCCCACCTGCCAGCCCCAGGCAGGGCGGCAGCTCTGGATGTGACCGTGGTAAGAGGAGGAGACAAAGGGTCCTGCTCCCCCTGGGCCTCGGGAGATTGGAGGACACCAGTGCCCTCAGCATCCCTACAAACCCCTGAGCCACGCGCTCCGAAATCCATCCCACCTATCTCCACCTGCTGCCGCCGCAGCCCCCGGGCACCCCATGGCTCTGTCCCCACCATCACCCCACGGGGAAGCTCAGACTGGGATATGGGGGGTGTCCCCTGAGACCGTCCCAACCCAAGCCACCGGCAGGGGGGTTATTTTACCAGTGGCCGCAGCCCCAGCCCTGCAGCCCCCGGGGCCGCGGCTCCCGAAATCCCGAGACCCGCCTGCAGCGGCGCCGCGGACGAGCCAGCACATCAGGGAAAAATTCCAGTCTTCCTCTTTTACAGTCTCTGTCTCCTGCCGCGGAGGGAGCCAACTGGAACAAATACTCTGTAGAAATACTTCAGTATTTTCCTGTCGCGCGTGCGCTCTCTCTCTGGGTTGTGAGTACAGCTGTAGATGCCGTGAGCTGGTGCAATTATAATAAATATACAGTATATATTGTAAATGACTCTGCTGGGCACTGAGAGGTTTCTTCATGGGGGAAGAACAGCGGGGGCTTCCTGCTCTCTCCACGCAGGATTGGTCTGTCCAGCTCCCTGCAGACCCGTCCTCCTCCTCTCCCCTGTGCTGCCTGCTGTGTCCAGCCACCCTTGGCTCACTTTTCCCTCTGGCTCCGTGTGGAACAGCGCTGGGCACCAGTTGTGCGTCTGATCCCCCTGAACATCCTGCTGTGGGGAGGGGGAAACCCTCTGAGAACCTCTCCCTCTGCCTCTTTCCCGTCTCCTTGCAGTCCTCCTGGCTCCCTGCAGCTTTCCCTGCATTCCTCCCTTTTGCCTGCAACCTCCCATCCATCCCATCTGCATCCCTCCCTGCATTCCTGCCTGCATCCCTCCCACCTCTCGCACCTCCCGGCATTCCTCCCTGCATTCCTGCCTACATCCCTCCCATTTCCCAGCATCCCTCCCTGCATCTTCCTCTGCATCCCTCCCTGCATCCCCTCCATTTCCCTGCATCCCTCCCATTTCCCTGCATCTCTTACCTCCGCAGTGCTCCCCTCCTTTCCCGGCTCCCCCTCAGCCCATCCCAGACCCCACACGGCTCAGCTTCCTGCAGCCCCTTCTCACTCCCTGCCGTTCCAGAGGGATGGGATGGGCACTGCCCCAGACAAAGGACACCCCCAATTCCCCTCTGCAGCATTCCCCTCACATTCCTTACTCCCTGGGGTCACACATCCTGCTCGGAGTGTCAGGGTTCAGCTGCCCCCCCCCCCCATCTTCTGGCTTCTCCAAATCAAAGCTGGGGGGCACAGGAGGACAGGGCAGAGTTGATGGGATCCCAGAGGGGATGGGGTCCCAGAGCTGCCAGGCTCGCTGGGCTGGATAACAGCCCTTCCCTGGGATGGGGGCATGGAGTCTGGCCCCAGATGGGAATCCTTTCCTGGGTGCCAGGTGTGTGGAGATGCTCGTTTGGACATGAGGGCAAATGACTTAGGGAGGGAGCCTCCCTCTCCCAAACAGAGTGTGCTGAAGCCTCCAGCCCCCCCAGCCCCCTCCAGCCCCCCTAACCCCATCATCACTATCAGCTCCCCTGCTCCCCACCAGCTCCATCAGATCCTATAAGCCCCCCCCCCTTACTGATCCCATTGGCCCTCAAGAGCCTCCTCAGCCCTGTGGCCCTCAGAGACCCCCACCCACAGGGGCTGGAGCAGCCTCACCCCAGCTTGGTGCTGGGGGTTCCCCACCACAGTTGCTGAGCCCTGGGGCCACTGAGGGACTGGGGGGCTCCAGAACCTTCTGGCTGGTGAGTGACCAGGGGCTGGGGGGCTCCAGAACCTTCTGGCTGGTGAGTGACCAGGGGCTGGGGGGCTCCAGAACCTTCTGGCTGGTGAGTGACCAGGGGCTGGGGGGCTCCAGAACCTTCTGGCTGGTGAGTGACCAGGGGCTGGGGGGCTCCAGAACCTTCTGGCTGGCAGGTGACACAGCGCAGGGCCATGCACGGCCTCCTCCCCTGACTCATCCCGCCATTCCCGAGGCGCTGGCCCAGCCCCAGCTCCCTCCCCACAAGGCCAGCGTGTCCCGGGGATTGTTTTATGGGTAGGCAGGAAGAGCCTGGGAGCAGCTCCAAGGGCCATCCATCACTCCCAACCAGCCAAGCCTCTCGCGATGAAAGGCGGACGGACACTTCCTTGGCAGGGGGACCCCGGAGGCCGCCAGCCCCCTCCCCGCGCCGCCCACACACTGCGGCTGCGTGTGGCCGCCCCAACCCCGGCAAAGTTTCTCGTCCCTTCCCCAGGGCTGCTGCGATTTCCATTAATAGCCAGCTGAGCCTCCCGGCTAAAAATAACCCCCGGCCCTCTTCATAAGGCACCGCCGGCCACCCCCCGGGCAGCACCGCACACCATGGCCGAGCGCCGCGTCCCCTTCACCTTCCTGCGCAGCCCCAGCTGGGATCCCTTCCGCGACTGGTACCATGGCAGCCGCCTCTTCGACCAGTCCTTCGGGATGCCCCACATCCCCGAGGACTGGTACAAGTGGCCGAGCGGCAGCGCCTGGCCGGGATATTTCCGCCTGCTGCCCCGGGAGAGCGCGCTGATGCCGGCCCCGGGCTCGCCCTTCGGGACGGCGCTGAGCCGCCAGCTCAGCAGCGGCATCTCCGAGATCCGCCAGACTGCCGACAGCTGGAAGGTCACCTTGGACGTCAACCACTTTGCACCTGAGGAGCTGGTGGTCAAGACCAAGGATAACATTGTGGAGATAACCGGTGGGTGTTGGGATGGGGGGGGGTCTCTGGGGTCCCTCGAGGGTGCTGGGATGAGGCAGCTGCTCCAGAGCTTGCTGGGGGGAAAAGGGTGGGAAGGCAACGTAGGGCGGAACAAGGGGTGGGAAGAGAGGGAAGGAAAAGCAAAAAGAGGAGATGGAGGGGACAGGTGGGAGGAGAGGAGAGAGGAGAGGAGAGGGAAAAGGGAAAGAGAAAGGGAAAGAGGAAAGGAAAATCAAGGCACAGAGGAAGGCCCAGCACTACAGCTCAGCCTTGGGGTGCATTCACACAGCACAGGGTACAGAGACCCCCTGCCAGCCCCATATATTCACCTCTCACTGCTGTCCCAGCCAGGACACGGGGAGGGACCCCCTGGCTGTGACCCACAGAGGGACCTGGGGGTTGACGAGCCCCACAGCCCCCGTGCTCCCCACAGAGCCCTGGGCAGCTCAGCCAGGGATGCCATGACAAAGTCCAGACCTGTGGCACAAGGCCAGGATGTGCTTCCTGACACACCAGGACAGTCTGCACAGAGTGGGGGCAGTTCCCCAGCCAGAGGGATTTGGGGGGCAGCCCCAGGAAGAGGGGGGTGCTCCATCTTCAGCCCCACTGGCTGTGGGGCCAGGTGGCTGCTGTTGGGTCCCTTTGGCCACCACCAGGTCCTGGCACCACACTTCGCTCCACTTGAATTTGGGGGATGCTCCCAGAGGGGCCTCACTGCTCCTGGTACCCCACAGCTGCTTCAGGCTCATATGAGCAAGAAACACCAGGATGGGCAGAATCAGCCCCTCCCTGGTGTCGGGCAATGTCGGGATGGGGTGGGAAGGCTGCTCCCCCAGCTGGGTGTTTCCTTTCCAACCATCCCAGGGTTTTGTTTCCTTGCAGGCAAACACGAGGAGAAGCAGGATGAACACGGCTTCATCTCCAGGTGCTTCACCCGAAAATACACGTAAGTATCAGTGAGGAGGGGAGTTGGGATCCTGGCAGCACCAGGGACCTCTGGGGACCTTTACCCACCCACCCACCCCCTCAGTGCCCACTGGCCAAACCGGGAGTGGGGGAGGCAGCAGTTTGGGGCTGTCACATCCCTGG